GCTAGCTCCGTCCTAGGCCATGGACTTTGTGGTGGCCCCAGGACACTAGGGCAAAGGACAAGGCAGGAAGTGGAGTGGCCCTTGGTGGGGGGAGCGGTGGTTGGACATCCCTCTTCATGACCAGATACCCAGCGGCTGGAGCCAGGGGTCAGCAGCAGGGGCTCAGCACACCGCCAAGGGAGGAGCCCTGCCACAGGCAGATCGTCACACAGGTGGCCTGGGACCCCTCACAACGGTGGCGTATGGGACTCTAGGGCCCCCGTGGTGTAATCCGGCCAGCGGGTTGGAACCGGGCCTGGGGAAGCCGTCAGGGTGGAGCCTGAGATAGAATTCCCCCCTTGGGACAGCAAGAGGACAGCAAGGTCAGCTGGCCAGACACAGGCTGCCACGGGGTTCTGCCGGCAAGACGCCATCGCCAGAGGCGGCCCCTGGACCTCGAGCTACAGGATGTGAGCCACAATAAGCTTCTTCATTAAAACCTACTGGACAGTGAGGGTTGTCAGGGGCAACAGAAAACGCACTGACCCGTCCACAGTAATAAAGATGGTGAAGATAGCCGTCCAGCCTCCACCACACCGCTCTGTCTTCAGGTCCCCAAAGAGCCACCAGCCTTGGCAGGTGGAGAAAACCAGGCTAAACTCCCTCCCAGGACCACCAGAGATGGCAGTACTGTCTCCGTGGCCTAAACGGCATGGCTGCCCTCCTTCCTCCTGTCCAAGGAAGAACCAGCGGCTCAGTGCAGCTGCTGAAGTGTGACCCTGGCCCCACAAGCTCAGGCTCCTGCGCGGCTCCATCCCCGTCAGCAGCTGAGAGATGGCATCATTTCTCATGTAGAAATTAATGAGGTTTCCAGGCCCCCCGGAGCTCCCCAGACACCCCTCGAGCCAACTTGTCCTACACATTCAATTAAATGTCTGGGTATGAACAGCTCCCCAGGGGAGGGTTGTACAATCTCCTGCAGAAATCTGGTCGAGCTCTGTGTGCATATGTGTGAAGTCATATTCTTTATTTTGTTTGGGTTTGTCTTTCTTTTTTTTCCAGAATCGCAGTCGTGGAACATGAATATCGATTCCAAGTTTTGTTCTACTGCAAACTGCACCGGTCTCAAACCACATCTCAGAATGTGCTTAGAGTGTGGATGTGGCAGAGTGACAGATTTCTGGGAACTGGGATATTTGGATGGTGCTGGGATATCATTGTGGGGTTGGAGTGAGGGTGATCAGTCAAAAGACCACTTAATAGGGCATACAAGCTGTGTGACTGTGGACGAACGACTAGACCACTCTGCGCCTCATGGGTTAGATGAGAACTCCTGCCTGCCGACTGCCGAGGACTTATTAAATTCAGCAGACACACAGAGCTCAGCACACAAAAACGCATAAGTCACAGAGAGTTGCTCCCTTGTGGCTATGTAGACAGAGCACACACAGGGCTTATCACCCAAACCAAACACTCTGAGAGCCAGATAATCACCGGCAGTCACTAAGCCATCTACCATGACCGCAGCATACACCAGGAGCAGTCAGGGCCAACCAGGACAGCGGGTCAGGCCTGTGTCCACCCCTGTGTTTAGCAAACACCCAACACCTGCTGCCTACAATCGCCAAGCTCCGGCAGCTTCCAGCCACGGCCGAGGCAGGTTATGACCCAAGTTTGCAACCCTGTCTCCAGGCTTCCAGGGATGGAAACGGGTCAAAGAGCCCCTCCGGTGCAGCGCTTCCAGCCAAGCCCAGGTGCAGGGTGGCCCCGGGGACCCACAGGAAGCATGGAAACCTCTGAACTCCTAGGAAGACAGGGATTCTGTAACCCGGGGCTGAGCCCCAGGCCTGGGAGGGCTCTGGGCCCATAGCCAGCCACGGGGTCCTAGATGTGACCTCCAAGAGCTGCACCACCTGACAAGGTCATGGGGCATGACCCAGGAAGCCAGGCAAGGCCACATCACAGGCAAATCAAGGCCTGCTGGCCTCTCAGAGGCCAAAGCCCCTCCCCAGCACAGGGGCTGGCTGCCTGGTCCTGCTCGGTCTCCCTCCCTACAGACAGGCTGTTTGTCCCCACTTCTGACACTGCCCAGTCAGACCAAACCCTGCTTCCTTGGACCCTCCCAAAACCACCCATCAAATCCCTGGTCCTGTTGGTCCCTCTAAAAACCTGTGTCTGAGGCGCCCAGAGTCCTCGTGGTGCGTGTCGACCTGGTTGCAATGAGCAGTGAGCCACTTGTCCAGCTACAGATGGTCCCTGGGGGTCTGAGGCTGAGGGCACCAGCAGGGCCAAGGGCTGTCCCAGGCACTAGGAGGGGAGGGCGCGATGGAGTCAGGCAGGGCAGGAGGAACCCAAGGCCAGAGACCCAGAGCTTTCTTCCTCGTGGTTCATTTCCTGGGGAGCCGACAACGTGCACAGTCTGCAAACTGGAAAGGTCCAAGAGCCGAGCCAGAGGGCCGGGCAGGGATGACAGGGAGAGCAGCGGACTCGGAAGCAAGAATCCCGACTCCTGGACTCCAGTCTCATGCCGTTCCCTGTTGGTGGTCTTGGGAGGAAAGGGTCCTGGACCTGAGACCAGCAGACACACCTCCTCACCCGGGGCCTTGGGGACAGGGGGCCTGGCAGGGGCCTATTCTATGATAATGAGGCTGCCGCTATAAACTGGGCGGCTAGCAGGCAACAGGAACTTACTCCCTCACAGTCCCAAAGGCTCCAGGGAACGCCTCCCTTGCCTCTTCCACTTTCCTGTGGCTTCAGGGACCCTGGACCCGCCTGGGCCTGTGGCCACACCACTGCAGTCTCCACTTCCTCTTCTCTCCTCTCCGTATAAGGACCCTTGTCGTTAGATTTAGGGCCCGCCCAGAGCATCCAAGATGATCTCGTCTCCAGATCCCCGAGTGCCTCTGCAGAGCGCTTCTTCCAAATAAGGTTCTGGGGCTGAGGATGTGGGCACATCTGGTTGCAGGTGGCACCATGTCCCTCCCCACTGTCTTGTATGGTATACAGCAGGAGCCTCATAAGCGGCACAGGAGATGACAGCTGTGGTTATTATACAGGATTGATAATATGAAATGCCAACAGGCGTCTCATCAAGGTCAACGTGGATGCCCAAGTGAGGGCATCTTTTCAGTTCAAAAACGCTCTGCTGCAGTAAGTCAGGGGCAAGCGACCCACGAGGAACAGAAACGAGACGCTCCTGCCAGGGGACATCTGTGTTTCCCTGTGACCAACACGTCGTGCCCATCAGCCTTTCACCACTGTGACCAAAACACCTACAAGAACAACTCAGGGAGGAGGGGGAGGTTTATTTTGGCTCAGTTTCAGAGATTTCGCCCGTGGTCCTCTGGCTCCAGCGCTGGCCCAAGGTGAGGCAGATCGCCGTGGCGGAAGGTCGTGGTGGGGGAGGATGCGCAGCTCCTAGCAGAACCAGAGCCATCCAAGCCCTGGCAGAAGAAAGGCTCCAGAACCAGCCGCCAAAGGGCCGCCACACCACCGACTTTGACTCCACGTGTCACCGTGACTTGGGGACTCCAGGGAGGTTCAGAAACACATGGTCCTATGGGGCCGGGAGGGGCGTGGCTTTTTAAATGTTGGTGAATAGTTGCCCCTGAGTCTGTCTTGAGGACAGGGCTGTCCTTCGCTGCCTTCATGGTCTCCGTGATGCACCGTGACATGGAAAGAGCAGGATTCGGCAAAGTCCCGCATTCGAATCCTGACTCCGCCTCCCACTGAGCACAGCACCATCTCTGCAAAGCCCGGTTTCCTCACCTGTCGACTGGACCCTGGACGCTGGCCTGGCGGAGCCACGGTGAGCACTGCACCGAGGACAAGCGAGCGTTCCTTCCTTCCCTCTCATCCTGCCGACTCCACCAGGAACAAGCTTTAATTCCCATTCACAGACTGAGACCCCAGGTACCCAGGCCACCTGCCCACGTGCTGTGAAGGGCCCTCTGAAATCCACGGCAAAGCGGGTTGGCAGAGAGGGTCGTGGGGCTGCAGAAAGGGGCACTCAGCCAAGCTGGGGGTGGGGGCGAGGAAAGAGGGGAAGCGTCCCGGCTGAGACCCGAGGTAAGGGCAGGAGGCGTGAACTGGGCTCAGAGGTGGACGGGTGGGCACAGAAGACAACACAGATTGCCACCGTCCAGGAGCGGGAGGCACTGGGAGCAACGTGACCTCAGCTCCTGCGGCTGGAGGGGTGGTGGGAGGCACAGGGGGTCCCTGGGCCTGCTGATGAGAAGCCCCGCGCAGGCAGCCCTCTTGGGGGCTTTTACCCCATGTGAAACCTTCCTAGAGAAACTTCAGATGAGACCCAGTTGACCAACACCAGCTCCGCCCCTCCCTCCCCTTACAGAGCGGCCTCTGAGGACGGCTTGGTGCGGACTCGCCCGGCTTGTTTCTGTGTTCTGTCTATTTCCTATATGTCGACATGTTTTCCTAATTCTATACCCACGCTCGGTCGTGCGTTAACTTAGCTGAAAACAGGAAAGTTGGCCCTCCTTTGCCTCGGTCATAATTGATAGTATTTCTTTGTCTTAATGGCACACAAAATAAAGGGGCATCTTAAAGTTTTGTTAAATACCATAGAAAAGTTATATAACATGGCTTCCTCGGGGAGGGATAATAAATGCCTACAACCTCTGTAACCTGCTTGCAATATTCCACGTCTTGGGGTTCTACCCTGTTAGCCTTGTCTTACTGGCTGTATAATATTTCTTAAAATGATTAACACACACACACATATACACACACACACACACACAAGTGTCATCCAGGGGCACCAAGGCTGTATCTTATTGTTTCTTATATGGCACAGTAACTTCTCAGGAGTCTCACGTGGAAAACACTAGAAGTAGAATTATATAAAATAATTCTTGGTCTTAGTTTTCCACAGATACTCCAGACAGCCAGCCTGAAGCACAGGCCTCTGGCCCGGGGACCCGCCCCCCTCCCTCCACCCTTCCCGCCTGCAGCATTCCCTCCCAGCCCAGACAGCCTCTTAACTCCGCACGACATGTCCCCGGTCCCTTGTCTGTTTCTGTCCCCCACCACTTCCCCTCTGGAGCTGCACCCAGCACCGTGGGAGGGCTGATTTCAATTTTCCATGCTACTGCATCAGCCCAGCACCCGCAAGACTAGAAACCCAGACTGGTAATTCCTAACTTCCTGCTCAGAGGCCAGCCAGGCCAGCCTGCTGACCTGGGTCCAGCTTCAGCCACAGGTGCACTGTGCTGGGCCAAGCGTTTGACCCCTCTGGTCCAATCCAACCAGCCTGGTCATCCTCATGGGATCTCGGGAGGTGCAGCTGAGGAGGGACCTGGAAAGACCAGGGCGCCCCTGAGAAGCACTTTGGGCCACACTGTCCAGGAATGCCAGCCTCCTGGGGGTGCCTGGAACCCACCGGCTCAGCCCTGCCTCCGCCCTGCCTCCGGGATGTCCCTGCCAGCCATCTTTGTAATGCGCATCTCTGCTCCCAGTGGGAAGGAGGCAGTGTGAGGTAGCAGGACTCTGAACCAGAATAAAGCAGGCACGAAGCTCCTCTTCGGGGCTGCCAAGGCCTCCGATCTTAATGTACACAGAGCACACTGAGAGGAAACTCAGCGTAGCATTGCTCTAACAAGGTAGAAGCAAACAGTGTTCGAATCCCAGATCTGCCAGTTTTGCTGTGCAAACTTACGTAACTGATCTAACTGATCTGTGTCTCGGTTTCCTCACCAGCAAAGTTGGGGATGATAAGGGTACTACTGCCTGTTGCAAAGATTAAACGAGCTGATGGACACATGAGAGAGCTCAGAGCCATGTTTGACAAACAGCCACGGGTCCCCTGTTCTGTTCAGCCAGCCAGCCCAGTGCTGGGGGGGGGGTAGGGGAGGTAAATAACTCAGTAAGTAAATGAGTCTGGTGGGTCTGTGATCACTAGCTCCATTTTACAGATGAAAACCTTGAGGTTCAGAGAGGTAACATGATTCCAAGCAGAAAGAGGCAATAATTGAGCTCCTACTGTGTGCATCCTGGGGTGCTTTGCATGTGTGATCTCATTTCTTCCCAGAAAAGCCTTTTTATGGAACCAGCTGACCCATAAGAAGTCACAGGGCTGGCTGAGTGGAGGGCAGGGGACCCCAGGCCCCATCCCTCATCAGCTATAGGCTGGTCCATCCCTGTGGTTACAGGTGGGCACTGCCTCAGCCTGGCCAATCAGCACACCCCATCCTCTTGGCTACAGTGATTGGCTCAGCACCAAGCATGTGACCCACCTGCTCCAATGAAAGGCTGGCTGGAAGTGTGCGAAGCTGCTGAGACGAGGGGCTGAAGAGAGGCAGCCCACAGAGGCAAGGGGAGAGGGGTTGGATGGTGGTGGGCTCAGCCTTTCCCTTGCCTGGGCTCCTAGCTCCTCTTCTTTAAACTAGTGACCTTGAGTTTCTGTCCCCTGCTGGCTGGGGAGCCTGGCTCCACTCCACACACCGTGCTGAGCTGGAAGAAATCCCAGCCACCCCACACCCTCTGGTCCCTGGCCAAGGAGCCAAACCCATGGCTCCCCAGAGCTCCCCGCAACCCCGAGCAAGGGGGATCCTGCTGACAGGGAACCGTCCCTTGGGAACCCGGCTCTGCCACCTGACAGAAATCGCTGAGCGCGTGGGGCACACTGATCGCGCCCCTGATGTTCCTGCTCAGCTTCCCGCACCACCAGGTCCGACAGAGTCAGGGAGGCCAGGCGGGTTTGCCCAGCAGCTCTCTGTGGGCCTGCTTGGGTTCTTGGAGGAAGGAGATCAAGGTTTGTTCCCATACACACACACCCCCCCCCCCAGGATTGCCCAGGAGGTGACGCAGAGCAGTGACGCTCATCAGCGCTTGGCCTCTCTGGCCTCCGCAGCAGCTCCTCGAAGGAGCCTTTATGTAAAAGCCTTCACGTAATGAAAGAACTTGGACCAAACTCAAAACGCATTGAGGGAAGAAGAGATTCCAGGGGGAAAAGCTCTCTCTGGGGGTGATTTTCAATGAACTTGCGGTCTGAAGGGGCAGCTTGCCCTCCTTCTTGGAGGAGACACGGCAATAACAGCAGTGCTGCTCGTGGCCACATGTGGAGGCCGGCCGCGCACTGCCCTAGGTCTTTAAAGGTGCTCTCCAGTGCCATCCTCACAGAAGCCTCAGGAGGGAGATCGACAGTGGCCTTCATTTTGCCCGTGAGGGAGCTGGGGCTCAGGGGTGTCGGGACATTCAAGGCCAGCTGGCTAGCTGGTGGTGACGCCCAGATGATGAGACCTACATCTGAGGGCGAATGGACGTGGAGCCTCTCCACGTGACTTCTGCCTGTGTCTCAGAATCCTGGAGAGCAGGCTTGTTGCATTTCCAAGTTTGAAAAGGAAGCCAGCCCCGTGCCAAGGACAGCTAGCCATGCAACCTACCCCTCCCTGGGACATGGTGGCTACATGACAGCACCCAGCCTGCCAGAGGGTCAGCACTCCATGGTGTAACTGCAGCTAAGAAGAGAGAACTGACACCTACTGAGCTCTTGGCCTGTGTCCGTCACCTCACTCCTTCGTGTGACCTGGAGCTCCCAGTGCAACCCCAGCACCACACAAGGTCCTGGTGACGTTCATCTTTTCATGCATTTTCGTTCTTATGGAATCCTGGCCACACCCCTCAGGGTTTTGATGGCTCATTTTGATCAAGATGGAAAATGAGGCTCAGAGAGGTTATTAAGACACCGATTTCAGGGCCAGTCAGGCTCCTGTGAGGGTCCGAGCCGGATGAACCCTCATCTCCCTTACTTCAAATACAGGATGATGCTAGAAACCGTGCCCCAAGAACACCCAGAGTTCCACCCCATGCATCTGGATCGCAAGAGAAGTGCATGGTGTCCCCACCTGTCCTCTATCTTCCACAGCCCAGGCATCTGGGAGGTGTCCCCTCCAAGGGGCCTTACACAGAGGGGTGCTGGGGGTCACACAGATCTCACAAGAGCCAGTTCTGGGAACTTTTTTAGCCAGGTACTGCTTGCTGTGTTGCAGCCTGAAATTCACCACAGGTGAAGTATTTATGCCACAGTAATTGGCAAAGCTGCAATCCAGGGGCTTTTCGAAAATTATTATTTCCCAGAGAGCCAGTTGTTAAATAGTTCTTATGTGTGTTCAGCAAACTCATGACCACACTATGCCAGGTCCTGGGTTAAGTGTCAAGAATGCACAACTAGACTCCATCCCTGACCTCAGGGGTCCACGGTCTACTGAGGGAGGCAGATTCTATCTGAAAAATGCCACACACCTGTGCAATGGGTAGGAGTCAGCTGGCAGGGCGGGAGCAGGGAGACGCTGGGTGCAGGGGACAATGCATTCCAAGTTTTGTGACTGGGAAGGGTGGCATGCTCCAGGAAGTGGCCCAGGGCCACTGTGGCTGAAGAGGGACCCTGCCCGGCTTCTTTATTCTGAGTCCCATCCTCAAGCCTCAGTAGCTGTACCTGAGGCTCTCCATGCTGTTCAGGGTCTGGGGGTCCCCGTCCTCCTTTCCTCATCAGATCCTGTCCAGGCCGCCTCCCTTGGCCTCGATTCCTCACTGGAACCGTGAACACGTAAGTGGAGCTAATGACATCATAGGCGGGTGCAGGAACCAGAGAGAGACAGAGGGGAGGTCCTGAAGCGCCTGCTGGTCCCAAGCCTCCTTCATGGAGCGGAGCTCGCTCTCCTCCTCCTTTGCCAGTCTGGCCCCCTACTGAGCGCCATGCATGGGCTTCGCACTGGAGAGCCAGCCACCAAAGGCAGACAGGATGGCCCGGGGGAGGGCTGCTGCTGACTCCTCATCAGGTGCTGAGCACCCCACCACGGCCAGGCCAGCCCCGGCTCTGGGATAAGAACTCTCCGTCCACGTTCGGCTCGCAGGCTGGTTTAGGTGCCTGCTTGGGCTTCCCATGCCCCTTCACGCTGCTCGCCATTCCAAAAGAAAACTACATCGCCACCTCTCTCTTCCCAGCTAGTCCTGAGCGCCTGTAGCACATGGACTGAATCTTAACCCTCCATCAGCAAGGTGCCAGGCACATAGAATCCACCAGTCAGTGTTGACGACTGAACCCTAACCACACATTGCAGACAGAGCGGCAGAGTCCAGCTTCCTGGTCTTAACCTACTCCCTTCTCAAGCCACCCCAGCTGCCAGCTCTGCAGTCCCACTGTTTGCAGAAAGGCTCCAGAGCTGAGCTTGGGCAGGGGCTGCTCCCCCTCCAACCTACCTCCCCGCTGTACTCACTGAGAAGTTGCTTGCTGGAGTCGCTGACTGTCACATTCTCCTGCCAGAAGGGGTTCATCAGCGGGGTGCACGAGCTCTGCACTGGATGGGACACAGGAATCAGCGACCAAGCTGACCAGCCCAGGGCTTGGTCCCTGCAGTCGCCCTGGATGCTCCCCCGGGAGGGCAGGAGGAGGGCTGGGGCAGCTCCAGCAAGAATTTCGAGCCCGGGCCCTTGACCCACCTTCCCCGGCTCCCCTAGACCTTGCCTTGGGGGGTTGGGGCTGGAGCAGGGGTTCGCGCTCAACAACAGATCCCAGTGAGCCGGGGCCCTCGCAGGGGGCGTTTGCGACCACCGCCCGGGGCCCTGGTGCGCCTTACCCCGGCAAGTCCGCCAGAGCCCGGAGTGCGAGCTCAGAGACTCGGGCTGGCTGCGGTTGGCTGTCCCCAGCGGGTCCTGCGCGCCGGGGCCGCTTCTCTCCAGCCGCTCGGTGTCAATGATGTACCAGAAGTCGGTGCCGATGGCGGCCGCCAGCAGCACGAAGCTGAGCGCCCCGGTGAGCGCCGCCGAGCCGGCCAGCGCGCCCAGGCGCACCCGCATCGCCAGCTCCGACCCCACCGCGTCCCTGCGGCCCCTCTGCGCTGCCAGCGCCCGCCGCCCGCCGCCCGCCGCGAGCTCCCGGCTCCAGCCCACCCTCCCCGCCGGACCCGAGCCCGACCGCGACCCGGACCCGGCTCCGCCCTCGCACCCTCACCTGCCGCCAGGCTCACACCTGCTCCGCCCTCGGACGCCCCCTCGCCGGCGCTCAGACCCCCGGCCCCTGCTCCGCGGGCTCGTCCCTCCCCACCTCCACCTGCCGGCCTCCGCGCTCCGATCTCGGATCCCCAGCGCCTCACTTTCCCCCCCCGGACCGCGCGCCCTCCGCTCCGCCAGCCCCCAGCGCCCCACTCCGCCCGCCCCCGGCCTCCCGTCCCCGCCGCCTCGCTCCCCGCTTCCAACCCTTTACTCCAGGGAGTTTCCCGCCCACCCCGCTCGGAGCTCTGGCTCCGCCCGAGGACCGAGCGGAGGCCACGCCGCCTGGACGTGGGCGGTGCCCCGCAGGCACCACGGGGATCGTGGGAGGGAGCGGGAAGGGGCGCGCGGGCCCCAGGGTCCCGCCAGGGTTTGCAGACGCTCTGCAAGGGCGCCCCCGTCCAGCTCCAACTACCCTGCTTCCAAAACCCACCTGGAGCGGTCTCTCCGGGCTGCTAAGAGGGAAAGGCAGGTTCGTGTTTTATAAAAGTTCAATGAAGCAACAGGGTAGCCCCGATTCTCTAAATCTGTCGTCTCTGCCGCCAAAGTCCCTTCATTATCATAGCCACCACCACCACCATCTCCATCACCACCACGACCACCACCACCATCACTAACCATCACCACCACCATCTCCATCACCACCACCACCACCATCACCATCACCACCACGACCACCACCACCATCACCATCACCACCATCACTAACCATCACCACCACCATCTCCATCACCACCACGACCACCATGACTAACCATCTCCATCACCACCACGACCACCACCACCATCACCATCACCACCATCACTAAACCATCACCACCACCATCTCCATCACCACCACGACCACCACCACCATCACTAACCATCACCACCACCATCTCCATCACCACCACCACCACCACCATCACTAAACCACCACTATCTCCATCACCACCACCAACATCACTAACCATCACCACCACCATCTCCATCACCACCATCTCCATCACCACCATCACTAAACCACCACTATCTCCATCACCACCACCACCATCACTAACCATCACCACCACCATCTCCATCACCACCACCACCATCACCACCACCACCATCACTAACCATCACCACCACCATCTCCATCACCACCACCATCTCCATCACCACCACGACCACCACCATCTCCATCACCACCACCACCACCACCACCATCACTAAACGTCACCACCACAGGACACCTCCACCTCCCAGCTACCACCGTCCCAGCCCTCACTACCCCCCATCATCACCATCTCCTCAGTGCCACCATGGCCATTCTCTTCTTATCAACCCTAATGTCCCTATCATTCCACCATCTTCTTCACCAGCATAAAACCTTCATTCCTTTAAGGAATACTTCTTGAGCCTTCTAGCGCCTGACACTGGGGCTCATGTTAAGAATGTAGCCGTGAACAACCCCCACCCCCGGCAAGGCCTGTCCTGACAAGTGTTTGGTGCAGCTGTCCCGCCTTTTTCAAATTCTCATCCTTTTTCAAAATTCTCATACTTGTGTGGCACAGAGGGGTGAAAGAGGAGGATTCCAGAGGCCAGGAGTTGGCCAGCCTCGGGGGCTGCAGTGAAGCCCCTTGAAGGCTGCCCTTTTGACTGGGAGGTCAGAGTCTTGGCCTATCGTGACATTTTTTCCTCCCCACTACTGGGATCTGAGCCCGCGGGCACTCTGCCACTGAACTCTTCCCCAGCCCTTTTCATTTTTTGTTCTGAGACAGGATCTTACTAAGTGGCTGGGGCTGGTTTTGAACTTGGGATCCTCCTGCCTCAGCCTCCCCAGTCGCTGGGATTACAGGTGTGCACCACTGACCAGATACTGCATGACACATTCTTAAGGAACCGTCATTAGAAGATCCAAAAGTTGCTGAGCTCTGCTTGGGTCGGGGAGAGAATCCCTAAGCAAACTTGGAGCTGTCTAAGCACCCAGGGGAAGGGACAGAGGGAGGCTCAGCTGGCCGCTCTGTGGAAGTGACCTGGATGCTGAGGCTGAAGGACATAGCTTCTGAGAGGGGGGAAACCAGGCTAGGGCATGGAGTGGGGGAGTGAGTAGAGGAACAGACCTGGACTCCAGGACGGAGTTTGGATTTCAGCGCAAACCACTAAATGGACTTGAGCAGGGAACTGAAATGCTCCTACTCGTGTTTTTAAAAACCTCCATCCCTCTGGGGGCTCACTGTGCAGCACAGAATGGAGGGAAACGAGGGAAGCCGGAGGCCCGTGATCATGGTCAGGGGCTTGGGCTGGGGTGGCGGCGTGCCCAGCCAGGGGGGGTGAAAGGTTTTCTTTAACTGCTGGAGTCGCGTTGACGGGATGGGGTGGTGGACTGCAGGGAGGACTCTCCTGCCTGTCGCTGGACTCTTCCAACACCATCACGTCTTCCTCCTTGTTACTCATCCTCATCATGGAGTGGGTGTCAGCAAGGGACAGAACTGTCACCAGCAAGACCACAGCCCGCTGATTCTGCACACCACACGCTCCGTCACCCCTTGACCAGTATCCTGCAGGAGATGGGCGGTTCCCTGGCAGCTGCTACTCACTCACTCACTGCTTTTCTTCCACCTTCTCACTGTGACCTCGACCTCCATTCGCAGCACCGCCTAAGCCACGCCCACGCCACGCCCACGCCGTCAGCTCCGCAGATGGAGGTGAAACTCGCCTGGGGCCTGCTGCTGCCTGAGCATCTCTCTCCTCTCTCTCTCTCTCTCTCTGCTCGCTGTTGCTCTACTCTTGCTTGACTTCATTCTTGGAGCTCACTGTCGCGGAGCCAGAGATGCTACTTTGCACAGTCTGCCAAGTTCCACAGAAAGAACCTTTTCTCCATGGTGCCAGGCAGACTTCCAGAAATAAAGCTCACTGACCTGTCTTTGGCCATCTCTGAACCCGTCTCTATGGTTCAGAAGGATAGAATGTGCAGAAATTGACCAAACCTGGGTCGCGGGCTGGTCCTAGAGCCAGAGTAGGACGCGGCACTCCTGCCCTAACCCTCTGAGCTAAGTGGTGTCATGGCTGACAGACGGAGCAAGTAAAATCACCCGATGCCCAGCCATATTCGAATTTCAGATAAATAATGGATCATTTTTAGCGTAAGTATGTCCCATGTGATATTTGAGATATACTTACCCTAAAAAAATGTTTGCACTGTTTCTCTGAAGTTCACATGTAACTGGGTATTCTGTATTTTATCTGGCAAACCTAGTTGGCTCCATAAAGGAAGGTCAAGGTGCCTTTACCAAAGCCACGCGAATGGACAATGGTAGGCAGAGCCAGGAGACACCCCTACACCCAGCACGGGCACATCAGTCACTGGGTCCTCATTCCTCACCAGAAGAGATTCCTCGCCTACCTAAGGGTCCTCATTGCAGCTCCTGTGCAAAGAAGACCCTGTAGGTTTTGAGAATTCTGTTTTTCCTGAGGATTTTAATATGATCTACTTGAATTGTGCTCAGTCACTCTATAAAGGACAGAAAGGAATGATTTTAAGGATCTGGGGAGGGGAGGATCCCATCTACGTCGTGGGATATCTTACCCCGCCAGTCAACCCAAGCGGCCCATAACCCTGAAGCTCTGGAGGCAGGACCCGCGCCAGCCGCAGCCCAGGGGAGGCAAGCTGGGCGGGCACCAGGGAGAGGTGGGGACACCTTCCGCAGGCTGGGATTCGCCTCTGACAGCCGTGGGGCCCGGGGACTGCCTTGTTCCTCTGAGCCTCGGCTCCCTCAGCTGTAAACGGGGTCACTTGTTCCTACCAACCCCAGGACAGCAGCACGAAGGCAGGATGAAATGACGAGGTGATGTCCTCCGCGACCTGTGAGCAGTCGTGTGGACGTGACCATTAAAATAGGGTCTCCCATCCCGTGCACCTCCCGGAGCCTCGGCTTCCCTCTTTGTGAAGTGGTGATTGGCAGGTCCCTCGGTCAGGCGGTCCTCTCTCCTGACTGTAGCGCAGTCGCCCGGTCATTGGCTCAGGGCCCCCCAGTCCAGTATGACCTCATCTGAGCTAGTCGGAGCGTGAAGACCCTACTTCCAAGGAAGTTCTCATTCTGAGGCTCTGGGTGACCCTGGGTGACCTGTTCTGCCCAGCACAGCCATCATCCTCACTCAGACATTATGATAGACACTATCAAAAGGTTCATCAACACCATTCTGATCCATCTCCCCCTTTCACATTTTTAGACACATTCCAGCTGGTGATGGCCATGTGACATAATTTTGATCAATGAGGTAGAAACAAAACCTGTAAGAAGGACTTCCACAAGAAAAAAATACAAGATTTGGGAGAAGGTTTTGGGTTCACCTGGAGTGTAAGTGTGATTTCTGGAAGTACAGTGGCCATTTTGTAACCATGAGGATAAACCTCCTTGTCAGTGGCAAAAAATACAATGCTATAGAAAGCCTGAGTCCCTTATAGCGTCATGGCCAGCTGCCCCATCCTTGAGAAGCCTGCCTCCAAAAGTCTTCTTAGAAGATAAAAATAAACCGGTATGTATTCAAGCCCCCATCTTAAGGTTGCCTGTTATTTGCAACTGAACACATTGTGAATTGAGTCAGACAGGGATTGCGCTAGCCTATCCAGCATGTCGTTGGCTCTGAGGTTAGAGCCAACAGGCTGTAGATGGGTGATACACATTGATTTAGTAAATGAGTTCTGCCCCAAAGAAGACCTCTTCTCGCAAGCACAGAGCTTATCTTGTGAGGCAGAACCCATCAGTGGCCAGCTGAGGACTTGAGACGTAGCTGGGGTATCTGCTCAGCTCTTAAGAACCCCGCACTGAGAGAAATGCCTGTTGATTGAATTTCACAAGGTCGCAATGTGCTGCTGGCC